ACGCTCCACCGCCGAAAAAGTTTCTGGAGCTACTTTAGGGCGTTTGTTACGCGTAGGGCTGCCTATTCATTTGATGAAGTAATGCGTGAAAAATGCGCCATAAAAAAATGTTCCCGCTACGCTCGTGTGTGAACAGAGCCTTATAGACTTGCTGGTTTCTTTCGCCCTCGGCAGGTTCTCTTTGTGTTTAGTGGCAGAATAAAGGCGTGGCTCCATCTATAGGTAAAGTGGACAATCCCTTTAAGCAAAGTTTGAACCTCTGCACAGTTCTCGGCTCCCCTCGGCTCCAGCCAATGATGTATCGCTCCAGATGCTTTTGCCAATTGACTGTAAAATTGCTGGCAGTATCTGGCAAGGCAGCCCACCTAAAACCTTCCGCAGATTCAAAGGCCCCTCCTGCGGTGTGGCTCGAACACGCCACCATCAGCTCGCCAGCTCATTATCCCTTTCCTGCTTCCCGACCGTTCCCAAAGACAGAGCAATTCTGGAATCCATTTGACGGATCTTCCAGAGATGTGATTTACACGTGAAAATAGAAACGCGGAACTTAAACAGCGTCTGTAGGCTACATAATGATGAAATCTGATAGTAACGTCTTCTTCTTCACCTTGAGGCAACTGTAGGCATAGCAGTATACAGTGTCTACACCGGGGCCGGATCTAGCCTATCTGATCTGGGGGTGCAGTACAAAACAATTAGGGGGCACAATGTCAACCCTGAATATTAGTCACTGACAGTCTGTCACACAGCGTCACGACCTGAGAACACTATTATACATTAGGTTGTCATTAGAGTAAGGTGATTAAACAAAACCTGTGCCCCTTATATCAACTGCCCTTATCAGAGTCCCCCTTATATCAGGTGTCCCCATCAGAGAGCCCCCTTACATCAGGAGTCCCCATCAGAGAGCCTCCTTACATCAGGTGTCCCCATCACAGTGCTTCTTTACATCAGGTGTCCCCATCAGAGTACCTCCCCACATCAGGTGCCCCATCAGAGTTCCCCTTTACATCAGGTGTCCCTATCAGAGTGCTTCTTTACATCAGGTGTCCCCATCACAGTCCTATCAGATGTCCCCATCAGAGTACCTCCCCACATCAGGTGTCCCCATCAGAGTGCTTCTTTACATCAGGTGTCCCCATCACAGTCCTATCAGATGTCCCCATCTGAGTACCTCCCCACATCAGGTGTCCCCATCAGAGTGCTTCTTTACATCAGGTGTCCCCATCACAGTCCTATCAGATGTCCCCATCAGAGTACCTCCCCACATCAGGTGTCCCCATCAGAGTTCCCCTTTACATCAGGTGTCCCATCAGAGTGCCTCCCTACATCAGGTGTCCCATCAGAGCGCCCCTTTACATCAGGTGTCCCATCAGAGTGCCCCTTTACATCAGGTGTCCCATCAGAGTGCCCCTTTACATCAGGTGTCCCCATCAGAGTGGCCCTGTACATTAGGTGTCCCTATCAAGAGTTCCCCTTTACATCAGGTGTCCCATCAGAGTTCTCCTTTACATCAGGTGTTCCCATCAGAGTGCCCTTTTACATCAGGTGTCCCATCAGAGTGCCCCTTTACATCAGGTGTCCCCATCAGAGTGGCCCTGTACATTAGGTGTCCCTATCAAGAGTTCCCCTTTACATCAGGTGTCCCATCAGAGTTCTCCTTTACATCAGGCGTCCCCATCAGAGTGGCCCTGTACATTAGGTGTCCCTATCAGAGTTCCCCTTTACATCAGGTGTCCCATCAGAGTGCCTACCTACATCAGGTGTCCCATCAGAGTGCCCCTTTACATCAGGTGTCTCAATCAGCGTGGCCCTGTACATTAGGTATCCCTATCAGTGTTCCCCTTTACATCAGGTGTCCCATCAGAGTTCCCCTTTACATCAGGTGTCCCATCAGAGTTCCCCTTTACATCAGGTGTCCCATCAGAGTTCCCATTTACATCATGTGTCCCATCAGAGTTCCCCTTTACATCAGGTGTCCCATCAGAGTTCCCATTTACATCAGGTGTCCCCATCAGAGTTCCCCTTTACATTAGGTGTCCCCATCAGAGTGCCCCTTTACATCAGGTGTCCCCTCCCTACATCAGGTGTCCCATCAGAGTGCCCTTTACATCAGGTGTCCCATCAGAGTGCCCCTTTACATCAGGTGTCCCCATCAGAGTGGCCCTGTACATTAGGTGTCCTCATCACAGTCCTATCAGATGTCCTTATCAGAGTGCCCCATTGCATCAGGTGCCCCCATCAGAGTGCCTCCCTACTTCAGGTGTCCCATCAGAGTGCCTCCCTACATCAGGTGTCCCATCAGAGTGCCCCTTTACGTCAGGTGTCCCATCAGAGTGCCCCTTTACGTCAGGTGTCCCCATCAGAGTGGCCCTGTACATTAGGTGTCCCTATCAAGAGTTCCCCTTTACATCAGGTGTCCCATCAGAGTTCCCCTTTACATCAGGTGTTCCCATCAGAGTGCCCTTTTACATCAGGCGTCCCCATCAGAGTGGCCCTGTACATTAGGTGTCCCTATCAGAGTTCCCCTTTACATCAGGTGTCCCATCAGAGTGCCTCCCTACATCAGGTGTCCCATCAGAGTGCCCCTTTACATCAGGTGTCTCCATCAGCGTGGCCCTGTACATTAGGTATCCCTATCAGAGTTCCCCTTTACATCAGGTGTCCCATCAGAGTTCCCCTTTACATCAGGTGTCCCATCAGAGTTCCCCTTTACATCAGGTGTCCCATCAGAGTTCCCATTTACATCAGGTGTCCCATCAGAGTTCCCCTTTACATCAGGTGTCCCATCAGAGTTCCCCTTTACATCAGGTGTCCCATCAGAGTTCCCATTTACATCAGGTGTCCCCATCAGAGTTCCCCTTTACATTAGGTGTCCCCATCAGAGTTCCACTTTACATCAGGTGTCCCCATCAGAGTGCCCCTTTACATCAGGTGTCCCATCAGAGCGCCTCCCTACATCAGGTGTCCCATCAGAGTGCCCCTTTACATCAGGTGTCCCCATCAGAGTGGCCCTGTACATTAGGTGTCCTCATCACAGTCCTATCAGATGTCCTTATCAGAGTGCCCCATTGCATCAGGTGCCCCCATCAGAGTGCCTCCCTACTTCAGGTGTCTCCATCAGAGTACCCCCTTACATCAGGTGTCCCCATCAAAGTCCCCCCTTACATCAGGTGTCCCCATCAAAATGCCCCCTTATATCAGGTGTCCCCATTAGAGTCCCCCCTTACATTAAGTGTCCCTATCAGAGTGCCCTGTTACATCACTTGTCCTCATCAGAGTACCCCCTTACATCAGGTGTCCCCATCAGAGTGCCCCTTTTCATCAGATGTCCCCATTACATAAGTGCCCCTAATAGAGCCCCCCTTTACATCAATTGTCCTCATTAGTGTCCCCCTACATATGAAAAGGTATCCACATCAAGTGTCCCCTTTAGAGTGCCCCCTTACATCAACTGTCTACATGAGACTGGCTCATGGATCAGTGGATGCACTCTCAGATACATGGGGGGGGGGGGCACACCCCACCCCAGCACCCCCCTAGATCCGGCCTTGGTCTACACCGTATGTACACAGTCAGCGAGAGATAAAGCTAAAGGCTAAATTGCTTATTTTGTTCCTTCTTTTCACCCTCATCATCATGCTAACACAATTGTTTGTTTTTAAATAAAGCCATCCTGTTTTCATTACATACCTTATTTTGGCATCACTGGGTCTCTGTGCTTCTCTATGCAATGAAGGCAGATCATGGCTGGTGGGTGGTGCCAGCAGGATGCTATACATAGCTGAAAACATCACAGCACCCTGCCTCAGTACTCTTCTCAGACCTGATGCAAGCTGTAGGCTGGCTCTTGGTAGGAGCTACTCAAAAATCAAAATGCCTTGATGGGTGGGTGTGAAGACTGCTTTAGGTAACACCCACATGTGATAGACAGTCAGGTTGGAGAGGAAACAGCTGGATGATGCTGGATGTCCTCCAGCCAGGAAATGAGGTGGAGCTCTATCTGATTTGCTGCAGCCTCTAATGCACATTGTGAGAAGCTCACAGTGTTCAGGTAAATCAGAGTCAGCCATTTGCAGTGGGAAAGGATGGAGGTCAGATTTAATGAGTAATTAATCTTTGGAAGCTGTGCCCCTCCTCAATTAAAAAGGCAGCCAGGGATCATAGGACTAGTCACAAGCCTGGAGGTTCCCTGCCGATCTTTCTACAAGTAACCTGGCCACAGACGGTTCAAATCTCAGCCGGTTCAGCAGGGACCAGCCCACACTGATTGCTGCAGCTTGTTGGATTTTTACAGCTCCCCACCCCACCCCACCAGGAGAACTCAATAGCTCCACAGGAGGGGTTCCCCTCACCATCATCACAGACAGCATTGATCAAGAAATTTGCATCATGTATGCGTTATAGGCCTTGCTGACCTACCATGCCTTGTTCTGCACTATGTCTCTGTATGGGGGTGGCCATCTTGGTAGAGGCAGGGCTTTGCTTCCTCATGTCAGAGCCTCCAGCAAAGAGACAAGTAAGCAGCACAGTAGCAACATCACCAAATCGCACTGTACTCTATGTCAGCCGATTAGTGACAGCTATAAAGGTAAGTAAAAAGAAACTTTTAAAAAAGTGCTTAAAACATTAAAACATATTGAAATATATATCATTTATGGAAAATGTGAAATATTATTGAGTCTGTGTGCACTAAAATTAATTTCAATTTTAACTGATAATTTTGCAATATATATATATATATATATAATTTTTTTTTTTTTTTTGTCTAGGCCTAAACATTAGACATTTTAGAAAACCAAACAACCAAATAGATCTTTTGATTTTATTTTCTTCTATATTCATGTATTTTTTTTTGAATGACATTTGAAAAAATTATATATATATATATATATATATCACTGTATTTCCAATAGTATTGGTCCAGTTCTCCAAATCATGTGATTCAGGTCTTCCAATCCCCTCCATGGACACAGGTATATACAATCAAGCCCCTAGGCATGCAGACGGCTTCTACAAACATTGGTGAAAGAATGGGTCGCTCTCAGGAGCTCAGTGACTCCAAGCGTGGTCCCGTGATAGGTGGTCACCTGTGCAATAAGTCCATCCGTGACATTTCCTGGCTACTAAATATTCCACGCTCAACTGTTAGTGGGATTATAACAAAGTGGAAGCAACTGGGAACAATAGCAACTCAGCCACCAAGTGGTAGGCCACGTCACATGACAGAGCGGGGTCAGCGCATGCTGAAGCACACAGTGCGCAGAAGTCACCAACTGTCTGCAGAGTCAATAGCTAAAGACATCCAAACTTGGTGTGGCCTTCAGATTAGAACAACAACAGTGCGTAGAGAGCTTCATGGAATGGGTTTCCATGGCCGAGCAGCTGCATCCAAGCCTCGAATGCCGTGGTGTAAAGCACGCCGCCACTGGACTCTAGAGCAGTGGAGACGTGTTCTCTGGAGTGACCAATCACGCTTCTCTGTCTGGCAATCCAATGGACGTGTCTGAGTTTGGTGGTTGCCAGGATAACGGTACTTGCCTGACCGCATTGTGCCAAGTGTAAAGTTTGGTGGAGGGGGGATGATGGTGTGGAGTTGTTTTTCAGGGGTTGTTGGGCTTGGCCCCCTAGTTCCAGTGAAGGGAACTCTTAAGGTGTCACCATACCAAGAGATTTTGGACAATTTCATGCTCCCAACTTTGTGGGAACAGTTTGGGGATGGACCCTTCCTGTTCCAACATGACTGCGCACCAGTGCACAAAGCAAGGTCCATAAAGACATGGAGGAGCCAGTTTGGGGTGGAGGAACTTGACTGGCCTGCACAGAGTCCTGACCTCAACCCGATAGAACACCTTTAGGATGAATTAGAGGGGAGACTGTGAGCCAGGCCTCCTCCCCCGACATCAGTGCCTGACCTGACAAATGTGCTTCTGGAAGAATGGTCCAACCTTCCCATAGACACCCTCCTAAACCTTGTGGACGGACTTCCCAGAAGAGTTGAAGCTGTTATAGCTGCAAAGGGCGGGGCCAACTCAATATTGAACCCTACGGACTAAGACTGGGGGGCCATTAAAGGTCATGTGCGTGGAAAGGGTGGGGCCAACTCCATATTGAACCCTACGGACTAAGACTGGGAGGCCATCAAAGTTCATGTAAAGGCAGGCGGCCCAATATTTTTAGCAAGATGTGTGTATATATATTTATTTTTTTAGTAAATATACCATTTTTTCCCTGGATCCTATCTTTACAATTTCTAAATATATACAGTATATTAAAATATTTATACCACTAGCAGCGCAATCTAATAAAACACAGTAAAAAAATATTTCCACTGCTAGTGGTATAAATATTTTAATTTATGGGGATGTGATTTATGCATTTAATTTAAAGCAGCCGCATTATTTAGATTGATGGGGAGTTTTTATTACAGCTGATTTTCAGGTGTATATTTTATGAATTATACACAACATTTTTTGTCCATTGACTTTTACATGAGAATTTTTTTTTTTGGGGGGTCAAACATTTTTGATCTTTTTTTTGTATAGATTTGCTTATATTTTCACATTTCTGGTGCAATGATCTGGGATTTGAATTTAATTTATATACAGTATATTATTATTATTATTATTTATTAATAATAATAATCAAAACCAGTGGTGTTGTGCTCAGGGGCGGACTGACCATTCAAGCACTCGGGCACTGGGGTCAGTAGGGGGCCCCATGAAATGCCCCTCGTACCTTTTTTTATAGGCTTATTTGAGTGTGGGCAAGGACACAGGGGCCCCATGATCCCCTATTGCTCAGGGGCCCCATGAGTTGTCATATGTTATATGAATATATATATATACAGTATATGAGATAAATTAATTAACTGAATTAAAACAAATTTAAACAAGTGAATAAAGTCCAATATTATTTCCACAGCTTGATATTGCAATCACGCTGGTACTGCATGCATATCTTTGAATAATACGTGATATTGAAGTCTAATGGTGTAAACAAAGTAAAATATAGTCCACCAATCTTAAATAGTGTTCTCCTTCACCAGTTGTGCCCTCACCTGACGTATAGGACCAAACCGTTAAGTACCAGCGTGATTGCAATATCACGCTATGGAAATAATATTGGACTTTATTCACTTGTTTACATTTGTTTTAATTCAATTAATTAATTTATCTCATATACATATATATTACACATATATATATATATATATATAAATGTGTGTTCATATAATATTATTGATAGTGGAGCGGTACACCACTGGTTTTGATTTGTTTTGACACACTGGTATGAGTATGTGTATAGTGTAAGCGACCCACTCATTTATTTAATTATTTATTTATTCAATATTCTGTACATCAGCCTAATGCAGGCCATAGATGGGGAGAAAACCGGCTGATTTTTCTTTAAAAAAACTGAAAAATCGGTTGTTCAATCAGCCGACGTTACCAGGAGCGGTAAAAAAAATTTCACCCCGTCTACAGCTGGCAAAAAGAGTCTCTGCAGAGAGCTCCGCTATTTCTTTGACAGTTCTTTGACATTTATAGCAGCTGCAACAATGTATCTATTTGTATCCATTTAGGATACAGATGTTTTTATTCAGAAACAAATAGATACATTGTTGCAACCGCTATAAATGTCAAAACTGTCAAAGAAATAGCAGAGCTCTCTGCAGAGACACTTTTTGCCGGCCTGGAATTCTTCTTTTTCATCCTCCTTCTTCTTCTTCATCCTCTTCTTCTTCCTCTTCTTCTTCTTCTCTCCTTCATCCTCTTCTTCTTCATCCTCTTCTTCTTCCTCTTCTTCTTCTTCTCTCCTTCATCCTCTTCTTCTTCCTCCTCTTCTTCTTCCTCTTCTTCTTCTCTTCTTCATCCTCTTCTTCTTCATCCTCTTCTTCTTCTTCTCTTCTTCATCCTCTTCTTCTTCATCCTCTTCTTCATCCTCTTCTTCTTCTTCATCTTCTTCTTCCTCTTCATTATTATTATTATTATACAGTATTTATAAAGCGCCGATAGTTCACTCAGCGCTGTACATTACAAAGGGGGACAGAACATGTGACAGAACAATAACAATACAATGCAAAACATGAGGGGATTAAGGGCCCTGCTCTTTGGAGCTTACAATCTAGGAGGGAGGGGATGGTGGTACAGGAGGAGATAGCTGTGGGGGATGGAGTGGTAGGAAGAGTGGATGAGGTCAGTCAAGTTAGCAGGGTGTAGGCTTCCCTGAAGAGATGGGTTTTCAGGATGCGCCTAAAGGAGAGGAGAGTAGGTGATAATCTGATGGGTTGGGGAAGGGAGTTCCAGAGGATGGGTGACACACCCTGGAGAAGTCCTGGAGGCGGGCATGGGAGGAGGAGACCAGGGGGACTAGAGAGAAGGAGGTCTTGTGAGGAGCAGAGTGTGCGTGTTGGGTGGTTATTTACTTGGATATTAGGTCAGTGATGTAGTTCAGGGCAGTATGGTGGACAGCTTTGTATACGTCAGTGTAGGGGGGTTTAAATTTGATCCGTTGCGCAATCGGAAGCCAGTGGAGGGATTGGCAGAGGGGGGGTGGCGGTGGGAGCGGTTGGAAAGGTGAATGAGTCTGGCAGCCGTATTCAGGATCGACTGAAGCGGGGATAGCCAGCGGCGAGGCAGGCCAGTGAGGAGGGAGTTGCAGTAGTCGAGTCGTGATATGATGAGGGAGGGGATGAGCTGTTTAGTGGTTTCTGGGGTTAGGAACGTGCGGGGGGGGCGATGTTGCGGAGGTGGAGTCTGCACGAGTTTGTTAAAGATTGGACTTGGGGCTGGAAGGATAGGTTGGAGTCCAGAATGACACCAAGTACTCTGGCTGCAGGGCGGGTTTAATATGGCGTTGTTGGATGTGATAGAGAAGTCAATGGGGGGGGTGGGGTTCGGGGGGGGGGTGGGGGGAAGACAGAAACTACGGTTTTTGGAGAGATTCAGTTTAAGGAAGTGGAGCGACATCCAATCTGATGTGTGATTCGGGCAGAGACTGAGGGGGTGTGGTGGGGGGTTGAGGATGGATTTGTGTGTCGTCAGCATAGAGGTGGTAGTTGAAGCCGTGAGAGTGTATGAGTTGGCCAAGGGAGGAGGTGTAGATGGAGAGAAGAGAAGGGGCCCAAGGACAGAGCCTTGAGGGACCCCAACAGAGAGGGGGAGTGAGGGGGAGGTGGTAGCATTATAGGTAACGCTGAAAGAGCGTTGTGACAGGTAGGATGAGAGCCAGTGAGAGAGCAGAATCTCTGAGGCCGAGGGAGTGTAGTATTTTGAGGAGGAGGGGGGTGGTTTAACTGGGTCGAAGGACGCAGAGAGGTCAAGGGAGTAGGAGCACTGAATAGTGGCCATTAGCTTTGGCGGTTTAGAAGGTCGTTGGAGAGTTTGAGTAAGGCAGTTTCGGTGGAGGAGTGTAGGGGACGGAAGCCAGACTGTAGGGGATCGAGGAGGTTGTTGTCATTGAGGTGAGAGCATAGGGGGGTGTAGACGAGGCGCTCGAGGAGTTTAGATGTAAGTGGGAGCAGGAGATGGGTCTGAGGTTGTTCGGGGTCATTGGGGGTCCAGGGAGGGCTTTTTAAAGTATGGGGGTGATGTGTGCATGCTTCAGTGGGGAGGGGAAAGTGCCGGAGCAGAGGGAGAGATTAAAGATGTGGGTGAGGGAGCGTAGGATGGAGGGGGGAGGGAGGTCGTAGGAATTGTGAGGGGATAGGGTGGGAGGGGGCAGGTGGTGAGGCGGGCATCAGAGAGGATCTTGGAGACTTCCTCGATGGTAGTAAGGTCAAAGGTGTGGAGTTTTGGGGGCTTCAGTATGAGGAATGTAGGGTGGGGTGGAAGAGGAGGTCAGAGCAGTGGTGGGGGCCGTGGGAGAGGGGTGATTGGAGAGGGGTAGCTGAGTGAGGGGGAATGGGGTTGGAGGGAGTTTGAGCAGTGACGAAGTCCCTGCGGGTAATGTCGAGGGGGAGTGGGGGGAGAGGGGGTAGCTGTGTGGAGGGGACGGGGACGGGTTGAGAGGGGGCGTGTGGAATTGCGGCAATGTCCTTGCGAATTGTGTCAATCTTGTTTTTGAAGTGATTGGCAATCTCAAGGGCGGTGAGTGAGGTGCTGGTGGAGGTGGGGGTGGAGAGAGAGAGAGGTTGAAGGTGGAGAAGAGTCGGCGAGGATTGGAGGAGAGGGCCTTGATGAGGGTCAGGAAGTAGGGCTTGTTTGGCTGCGTGGAGGGAGGAGGTGTAGGTGCGGAAGGCAGATTTGTAGCGGGTGAAGGCTTGTTGGGATTGTGTTTTGCGCCATAGTCCACTCCAGGGCACGACTGTGTCGTTTGAGGGTTTTGGTGTGATCAGTTCAGTGCCAGGGCTGGAGCGGTCGGGGTCTGATGTTGCATGTGGTTAAAGGGCGCTAGTGAGTCAAGGGCTGTTGACAGCGTGTTGTTGTAGGCAGTCATAGCCAAGTCGGGGCAGGACAGG